TCTCAAAAATACCCTAAGTTATAGAACTGAAATTTGTGAAAGCATTAGCTATATTATAACTTATATAAATAAGTTTGTTGGTCTGTGTTGTAGAACCCTCCAAGTGTAAAGGAATTGAGAGTTGTTTTACATCCATAGATAAAACTTAAGATTTGTCAGTGATGATGGAAAAATTAAAAGTTACTCTGATTTTCATACTTATTTTAATGACAAAGTGACACTAAGCTATTTACATCCACATTCAGAGCTGTTTGAAGAATGCTCTGAAATCTCACATGGAAGAATAAACTGAACTCCAAGGGGCTCTGTCAAGAATTATGAAAATTTATAAATTATATCCATGACATTGACCTTTTGTTTGTGAAGGAATTATTTTCATATGTTAATGAGATTTGAATTGTAAATTTGTGAGTGGAGTTGTTAGTTTAGTAAGTCTCCAGAGAGTAGGAATTTGAGGTAAGCAGCTATTTGATTATTTGTGAAATAAAGTGGTAGCTGAATATCAAGAAAGGAATAGATAAGTATGCTTACTAAAGCATGATATCTGCAAAAAACAGTATTTCAAAATCCTGAAGGAGACTTTAAATTTTGTAGCAAATTTCACTATCCTTACTGGCCATCATTACACCAAATCAGGAATTTGGGGACTAATTATTTAAAACCATAAGAAAGGAAGGATTTAGTACTAAATAATTTAAGTCTTTAGTTTTTTGTTTTGTTTTGAGACAGGAGTTCACTATGTAGCTCTGGGCAGGCCTGGAACTCAGAGATGTGCCTGCCTCTGCCTCCCAAACTCTGGGATTAAAGGTGCGTGCCGCCAAGCCTGATGAAAGGAAGTCTAGCGGATTGAAGTGTGTAAACAAGTAAAAACTGCCTTGGCTGCAGTACCGTTGCCTTTAAAACCTGCATCCAAAATATGAGGTATGGAAGTTCAGATCTTAGACTAATTTTATCACAGTCTTCCATTTCGTATCTAGCAGTTAGGACACCTAAAAGGTCAGTTCATCTCTGCAAATGTTTAATTAGAAGGGTGCAACTCATGTCAAATAAACTTACTGCTTATCATCAATTGGTCAACATGACTGTTATTGAAATAGTATGAATTTGGTCAGGATTGCAGTCCAGAGTGAGAACTGTGGGCTACAGATGCAGCATTGGGTTTTCTGTCTCCTGATTTTTTCTGTGTAGTATTTATCATCTTACAGTCTTGAGGTTCAGAGACGGAGTGAAGTGTAGATATAAAAATCTACTACCTCTTGTTAACCCTTCAAATATTCTCTTCCCTTTCTACATCTGCCTCCGACACAAGAATCTCAAAGATTGTGTAACAGCCCTGTGAAAATCATTCTTTCTTTTTAAAGTGGCTTTACAATAAAATTTTCCTTATAACCCTTCCAGTATTGGTTCTTCTTGACTTCTGACCCAAAGTTCAAGTAGAAGAGAGACAGGGCAGCAGGTTAGGCGGGAGGAACTCTTCATACATGTATTCCGGGACTCTGAATACATCCTGTACGATTTGTGTGGAGAGTTATTAGCTCAGCACTGCCCCTACACTAAAGGAAGCTTTCCAGAAGAAAGACCAAAACCCAGATTTCCACACTCAGGCTTCACTCCTTTAGCTGTGATGACACTCACAGACAGGACACCAGCCCTGAAAGTTTTAGCATAACAAGATCTTAAAATTACTTAAGTATCAAAGCCCCACTACAAACTTACTTAAAACTCCAAACTAGCAATTTTTAAAATTTATTTTTAATTCTTATTTTTCTCATGTATATGCATTTCTGTGGTTTAAATGTTAACATATTACATGTTTTTATGATGTGATTATTTATTATGCCATTAAATTCTTTCAAATTACAAAATACTTCAAATATACAGAAAATAGTAATTAATATAAATCCTTGTACTCTTCCCATACTATTTTGCCATATTTGATTCTTCTTTTTAAAGAAATAAAATGTTTCTCTTGTATTCTCTGACCTATTCTTCCTTCTTCAGAGACAGTTTGCTGTTCTGAAGTTTGTACACTTCCTTCCTGTTGGAGGGTTCATAGTTTATGCTGTGCTGTATCCATAAATGATATGGAGCAGTTTTTTTGCTTTAAGCTTCGGGTCCTTTCCTGCTGTGTCATCTTCTGCACCATGCTTCTTCACTTGACCGCTGTTTAGTGTCACACCTGCCAGTCCTCCTAGGAGCTATTTTGGCAATTTCTGCTCCTTTGAGCCAGTGCTGTGGCAGGTGCTCTGGAGGCGTGAGCTACAGTGAATTCCAGGTGACAGGAAGTGCAAACCATTGGTTTATATGATGTCACGTTGTTCTTTAACTTGGCTACATGTTGGCCCGTCCCACAGGACAGTAAGGGTTCTGGTTTATACTTGTCACTCACGCTTAGTCTTAATGAAATTGTCCGGCTTCTAGTCAGAGAGTGCGAGCTAGGCAAGCATTGTATAACTGTGCTACATCTCCCATCATCTTCGTTATGAGTCATATTTTCCTAACTACGGAGAGACCTAGTTTCATTCATTCTTGCTTGCTGGTCCTTATTTTACAAACATGTCCACAATTTATGTTTGTATTTCTATTAGGTTACTTGTATTTTTAAGCTAGCTGCATAATGCTTTACTGTCTAGTCAAGCTTGTCTTCAACATGGTATTAATTTTACATTCATTTACATTTTATTAAAAATTTCCACTTAATTATCATTCCTTTCCATTTTGATTCAGCCACATTTTTTGTCTTAACGTTTTTACTAGTTAGGGTTCCCTAGAGGAACACAACATAGAATGAATGTATATATTAGAATGGCTTACAGACTGTGGTCCAACAATGGTTGTCTACCAACGGAAGGTCCAGCAGTTGTTCAGTTTAAGAGGCTGGATGTCTCAGCTGATCTTCAGTGTGTGCCAGAATCCAATGGTCCTAATGCTAGTGAAGGAATGGACTTGCCAGCAAGAGTAAGCAGGCAGAGAATAAAAGCTTCCTTCCTCCGTGTCCTTTAGATAGGCTGCCAGCAGAAGATTGGCCCAGATTAAAGGTAGATTTTCCCATCTCAAATATCCAGATTTAAAGTGGGTCTTCCTACCTTAAATGGTTTAGTTAAGAGAAGCCCCTCCCAGATGTGCCCATCCACTGTGGTGTTAGCTCCAGTCGATAGCAGTCATCACAGCACCAAAAGTTTGGTTACTCCCAGGCGGCTCTTTTGCCCTCACCAAATTTTACCTTATGGGTCTTCTAACCCAACTTTTTTTTTTTTTAATTTTCTGCTCCAAATTAGAGATAAAAGAAATGTTATGCATCTGTGATAGAATCCTTCAGTGTCTATAAATTTGTCTTTCCATTTTCCAGATATCCCTTATAAAAGGTCTTATTAAGGGTGCTCATCTGTCTTTGATAGCTTTGACTTACTTACTGTGAACTTTAAGAATAAGGGCTCCTTTGAGTAACACCAAGGCGTCCTGTAATTTGTGTCTCTGATACCCAGATTCAGTAGGTTATTTGGGATAAGAGACAACTTAGTTTCACTGAATTATCACATGAAGTAATGGGCTTAACTATAGCATTTTCATGTGTTACTATACTATTCCATTTCATTCCTTCTCAACATCAGCTGGAGACATGGATACTGCTTCTCTCCATAGCAGTCTGGTGAACATAATGTACAGCAAAAGAAGACATGCCAGGGCTTCCACAGCGTTCCTGTCCTCTAACACTGCAGACATTTGATATGCATCAGGCAGGGCCCACACTGCTGTCCCCGCCACCACAGGATTTGGGACACAGACAAACCGATGAAGACATGCCAGTGTTGATACTAATTGTTGTGCTGTGGTAATGTGCGCTGCACTTGTGCAGGCGCCTGGTTTTGCCTGTAGCTGAGAGATTGTGGCACGGTCGCTAACAGGTTTTCACCTAATTGTCCACTCCCCAAATGTGGCACATAGGCAGCAAGACCACAGGTTGGGAACAAGTGTTCCTTAATACCTGAGAGGTCTCACCAGCAACCTGCTCCTCCTACCTACTCTTCAAAGTCCAGGCTGCCATGTGGTCCAGCAAATCCAGTGGTGGTTGAGGTTGTAAGGAAAGGCAGGGATTCCATACAGGGCCTCTACCAGGCCCTATGGTAAACTGCATTTGCAGGCCTTTTGGATTCTGGAGTAAGACCCTGCTAACATTGCTGCTCTTGCTTTAAGTGATAGCCCTTGGTCTGATACTGTATCTGGGCAGATATGAAAAGAGAATATTGATCACCAAGTTATCCTGGCCCTAGTTACTCTATTGTGTACTGGGGATTATTACTATCATTTTTATTATCTGAAAATTTCATGCATGTATACAGTGTATACTAATCATAATCACCCCTCACCCTCCTCATCTCTCAACTTCATGCCCTACTTTTTAAATTATATATACAGGACTGGACAAGTGGCTTCCTGGTTAAAAGCACTCACTGCTCTTCGAAGGGACTGGAGCTTGATCCCAACACCTGTGTTGGGTGGCTTAGAACCACCTATAATTCTAGTTCTAGAGCACCTGACACTGTCTTCTGGATTCTATGGGCACCGGTCCACATGTGGCATATACTCTCTCTTACATACACAAAATCTTTAAAAGAAGATTAGATTATATCTGGCAAGGTGGTGGTGCACGACTTTAATCTCAGCACTCAGGAGGCAGAGGCAGGTGGATCTCTGTGAGTTTGAGGCCAGTAGCCTGGTCTACAGAGCAAGTTCCAGGACAGCCAAAGCTGTAACACAGAGAAACCCTGTCTTGGAAAACAAACAAACACTTTTATCTGTATATATTGATTTAATTCACTGAGTCTAGACAGTGTTCCTATATCCATATGGGTATAGTTTTGTTCACTGAGAGCAGACAATGTGCCAGTCGCTACCCCTAAAAGAAATATCTCAGAGAGGGAAAGTGGCCAAAATCCTTACAAATTATCATCTAAAGTTACCTCCATAGGACATATATGGCTGGATTTTTGAATGACATCACTGGCCTCTGGTGGGCTTTTATGAATAACTATAGAGAAAAAGGCACCTTCCTGATGAATACCTGGTAGCAGTCATAAATGATGTTATCTTGTTCAAAGAGTTAAACCACACCTATTAAACGCTGCATTTACGCTTTTATCATATTGTGTATGATAATCCACTGTAATTGTTTCATATTACCATTGTGTAGAACAAATGCCACCATAAGAGTGAACGTTCTTTTATTCCTGCAGTTTACCCTCAGGCTTTGTCATGTACGCACATCAATACACTGCTTTGGAAGGGTTCTCAGAGCGGTCTATACAGGGTGAGATTCATCTGCAGCTTCCTCTGTGCGCTCTGTTGTGACCGGCTGCCATCTGGTTCAGGGTCTACACATGACTCGTTTTACGGCTGTATGTTCAGTGGAATGGATAGATGAGTTTTATTTTGACCAGTGTCCTTTCTGATGGACTTTTAGGGTGGTTAAATTACTTTGCTATTATAGCTAATGCTAAATCAAACATTCTTTCATATATAAATATAACATAAAATGTAAACTATAAATAAGAAGATACACATTTGCTTGCAAGCATACAGAAATACCCACATACTTGAGTCCCTGAAAACAAAATGCCCGAGCTTAACTGTTTCTATTTTTCAGGTTTGTTTTCTTTGTATGCGTGTTTTGCATTATGTATGTAATACCACATGTGTGCCTGGTATCCTGAAGGTCAGAAAAGGCCAGGATCCCCTGAAACTGGAGTTATGGGTGGCTGTGAGCCACTGAAAATTGGACTCCAATCCTCTGCACTAGCAGCCGTGCTCTTAACCTCTTAGCCATTTATCCAGTCCTCACCTTTTCTTCTTTTTTTGCTCCTCCTGAGTCAGGGTTTCTCTTTGTAACAGTCCTGGTTATCCTGGAACTCACTCCGTAGACCAGGCTGGCCTTGAACTCAGGTCCATCAGTCTCCGCCTCCCCTGAGTGTTCGGATCAAAGGTATGTGCCATGACCACTCTGGCTCCATCTTTTTCTTTATGACACATTCCTGATAAACTTTCTTGAACCAGCTGCTTCAGGCAGTTCTCGGGCATTCTGGTGGCTCTCAGGACACTAGGACTTGCTGAACCTGAGGACTGACAGGATTTCTTGGCCTGCTTGCCTGCAAAGTGCTGTGGTCCCTTGCAGACCTTTTGTCTTCAGTGTTTTAAAAATTTCTTCTAAAATGAAAAAACAAACAAACAAAAAAACTCAATAAAACCAAAAGGTAAAATTCAGTCCAATCATTTGGTGATATGCATAATCCCTGATCAATTTAATTAGATGATAAACATATTAAATTCATCTGATTAAACAATGTATACCAAATAATGTTTGCTAACTCAAGCTTGGACTTCAGAGAAGTGGGACACATATTATTAAGATGTTCTGAGGATTCTGATCCTCAGTGGATCAGTGTGTAGTGGTGGCCCACTTCAGACTACACATGATCATTAGTTAACCTTGTTATAGCAAGTGATCACATTTTTAGCTGGTTGGTACCAATCTCTGCCATATATCCTGGCAGAAGATGTATCTGGAAAAGTCAATGAGAATATGAACAAACTGAATCCTGACATTGCTCAGAGAATGTAAAAAAGTTTACTTCTTTTGGAAATAAAACCTAGGGCTGGAAAGATGGCTCTGTGGTTAAGAGCACTTATGGCTCTTTTAGAAGACCTGGGTTCAAGTCTCAGCTCTCACATGATAGCTCACAACTATCTATAACTAGAGTTTCAAGGAATCCAATCCTTTCTTCTTGTGTTCTTAGGCTCCTGCACACACATGGTGCACATACATGCACTCAGGTACACACACATTAAAAAGAAACCCTTCTAAGAAAAATTGAACTAAGAAAAGACTGAACTAAGAAAACCAAATAACCCCTTCACACAATAAGTGGGTTATGTCATTATCAGCTGGCCCAAGGATCCATAGACCACCCCTGCCAAACATTACAGGCCATTGCCAAAGCTAGCTCACCCTACAGTCTTGAGGGTTCAGACCATATTGCTGAAGCCTATTTGGTACTCGACTGGAAACTTCATCTCTACTGGCTAGTGCTTAGTGTTTATTGTCTGGAAGATCTACACCTACTGGGTAAAGTCTCATCCAGCTGTAAAGCCTGTGAACAACAACAGTGACCTGCCTGCAAGGTCTCCCACGGTGCACATGTTGTGGGAGTAACCCTTTTTTTCTGTTAGTGCTGGGATATGAGGCCTGCCCCATGAGAATGAGCCCACATTAAGGGTCAAGTGATATTTGAATATTAGTTTATGAATGAGGGAAAACTGCCAGTCCTAAGAAGACAATAATTTTTGTTTTACGAGACAGGATTTTTCTGTAGCTTTGAAGCCTGTCCTGGAACTCGTTCTGTAGACCAGGCTAGGCTCACAGAGATCACCTGCTTCTGCCTCCTGAGTGCTGGGATTAAGACAATAGTTTTTAACACATAAACACTTATCCTCTTAAAAGTCTCTTCTTTCAATGTGCACTTCTGGCTAGCTAAGCTGTTGTTAGTGATTAAATTGCTCAACAGCTCAGGCTACTTTCTAAGTTTCAGTTTTCTACACTGAACTGTCGTCAGAAAAGTAGACAGGTAACACGAAGCTGTTTCTTATTACCTGGATTGTTTTCTTTTATGGTAACTAAGTAGAATAGCCCTCTGGGGGAGAGGAGTTCTGAAGCCAGCGGGAAGAATCTGTCCATGACTTCCCGGCCATTTCTGCCACCAGCCCAAGCTGCTTCTATTCCGTGACTTCCTACCTGTCACCAATCAGAAAGACTTGATTCAAATTTGACTTTACAATCCTTTTGACATTAAACATCACCAAACAAGTGCATTGCGCATGAGTGTACCTTGGCTTCTGAATGTTGTCACTCTGCCAAACTCTTAAAGTCCTTATGCTACAAGAGACCACATGATTATCCAACAACTAAAACTGCGTGCTGGGTGTGCTGGGCACACTGCAATCTCCATGCTTAAGAACACGAGTGAGAAGATTGCAATTTCAAGACCGACCTGAGCTACATGGTGAGACCCTGCCTCAAAAACCCAAAGGACAGGATTGCATGCATGCGGCTCTGGGCTCAGTCAGGACCAGAAGTATATTATGAAGAAACCATTGAAAATTAAGTTCAACGCTTACAACTTTTTTTCCTATTTCTTGTTGTGGCCTTTACCCATATTTGACTTTAATTTTATATATAATCATATTTTCTCTTTTTAGTCACTTAATATGGCATAGGTTTCCCAATTTAAAATAATTCCTTTATAATCATACACATAAATTTTACAAAGCAAAAAAATCCTGCTTATAAGGGCAGGTTTTCCAAGCTTGTTTTTCTGCCCCTCCGCTATCTTCAACAATTGTTTTTAACTGTTTTAGAATGCAGGATTGTTCCACATTCTTTCTTGCGTCTTTTAGTGCATGTGATGTTATGTTAGCATGTGTGTGTGTGTGTGTGTGTGCATGTGAAGGTCAGACAATCCTTGCCTTCCACCTTGTCGGAGATGGGGCTCTCTCCTGCTTACCACTGCATGGACCAGACCAGCACCTTGTGGACTTTTAGGGAGTCCCCTTTCTGCTTCCCATCAATGTGCACTCCCACAAAGCTCTGACATGGGCTCAGAGGACATCAACCTGGGCCCTCACGCTTTCACAAGCATCTCATCCAGTAACCCATCTCCACAGCCCTGTCACTCACAACATCAAGGACCTCTCATTTCCTCTGGTATAGTTCTAATTCACTGTTTATGGTGGTGCGGTACCCTACTGAAGGAATATCTTATTTAGGTAGTCTTTGACATTTGCTGTGTCTATTTTCTTTGAATCTTAATTCTGATTATTCCCAGATCCATTAATTCCACTTTAGCATCAGATTTTTCCTTTTGGAGCCCTCTGCTTTTCTTCTGGGCTCGCTCCCATTCAGGACTCCCCTCTCTGTCTACTCCATTGCTATGTGGGAACTTGCTATTTAGCAGGTGTCATGGTTTGGACCAGTCCCCATCTGACCTCTCTAGTCACTGCTTCAGAATGTAGCAGGCCTTCCTGTGATAAGGTTCCAGGCTAGGAAGCCCCATTTATCTGCTTATAATGGAGGAGATGACTCCTGAGGAACTTCTGGCACCACCCCAACCCTGAGGCCAAAGAAGAGAGGATTCCACTTCAAAAGGAGCAGGCAGGCGCTACCTTCTGTTTGCTTGCTGCCCGGGTGTCCACTCTTGGTCCCTCAGAGACCACAGATATAACCCACAGCACTTTAGTTCACGTTTCTGAATGTGACAGAAGGCCACAGAGCTCAAGCACCAGCTCTCAGCTGTGCCTTCTGGATATCATCTCTAAGTCGTTTATTTTCAACCTCTGTGAGTTCACTTACTTTGTCTTTATACTTTTTGGCCTGAAATCATTGTTTTCATTTAGTTTCCAGACTAAAGTTTTTTTTTTTTAAATTTTAAAAAAATCAGTGTGTGTTTGTGTGTACTCATGGGAATCGGAGAACTTTTGGGAGTCAGTTTTCTCCTACCATGTGGTTCTGGGTTAGAACTCTGATCATTAGTCTTGGTGCCAAGCACCCTTTACTTGCTGAGCCACTTCACTGGACCTGGGCTTGGCCCTATCTAATCATTCAGCTCTGGGAATTAAGACACCAGATCTGCTGGGATTGCAGAAGCGCCCAGGGCATTGCCTGTACCTGGTCCTCTGCTATGTCTCAGCACATGTACGGGTCAGGAGATCCTTAGCTTACGCCTCTAGCTGGAAACACTGGGACTCCAGTGGGTCACCATATTTTTTGAATTATTTCTTCACTGACTGAGACCATTACTGTGAATCAGCCATCCTTGCCGCACACACAGGCTCATGCTGACATTACTTAAATAGATTATAAAATGTAATAAACTTTTGTCCATTTTAGTTTTTATCCTGCTATGGAATGATTTGTGTTTTTGTGGAGACATTGTCTCACTGTGTAGCCCGTGCTAACCTGGAACTCAGAAGTCTGCCCTGAGCCATGCACCACCACACCCAGCTATTGAGTGATTTTAAAATTAGATCTTCAGGGCTGACACATTTTTAACAACTGTATTTATGTGTATTTACTGATTTATTGTGTTTATGTGTGGGTGTCCATGTGGACAGAGGGCTGTCTTTTGCTCACTGCCACCTCTGGGCTGGACTGAACCATTGTTATCACAAGGTTCATTTCCACAGCTTTTTCTTGAGCATCCAACTCATATAAGAAATGTAATCTCCTATTGATATGCTGATGGCATTTGGAGGTGGGCTGAGTAGGGGTCATGAGTGATTAATTAGTCCACGTTGAAAAGGAGAAGAGAACTATTATATGCTGAGAATGGTTCCTCATTCTCAGCGTATGATGTCTGTCATAACACAGCAGAAAGGCCTTGGCCACAGCCACACACCCCGAGACTGGTCTCCTCAGCCTCCAGACTGAGAAATACATGTATTAATTAAACAACCTATAGTACTTGATTACAGGAGCAGTAAACAGAATATATGACACTGTAGTGCTGTTCCCTCTGACTGTGACTTACTTCCTGGGCCTCAGTTCATGTGAGCACAGCCAGAGCATTTGCAGTAGAAGTGGGCACAGTATTTTCCAGCTTTGTGAGAGAATAATCTCCAAAGAATACATCAGGCAGAGTTAAAGAGAAGCCAATGCTCATCTATTTTGAACTATGTGCCTTCACCTTCTGGGGGAATGGTGATTTGGCTTAACTTCTTACTATGGAGATTCTTAAATACGTGATGTACTTCTATTCTTTCCCTATGAAGATCAGGATTGGTCCCACACTTTTCGTTTCTGATAATGCCAAGGGATGAAACCCAAGACTCTGAGAAGGACATTATTGGTGAATTTATAGTTGATTAGAAGTATTTTTAAAATTTGCATTATAAATTTGTTGTTTATGGTAACGGATCAGTTTCAACATCATGGCCCGACCTGGGTGAGAATTCTGACTAGATGGGTCACATTCTGTCCTTCCATCTGTATTCCTCTCCTTGTGGGTCACAATGTCTGGTATGAGAACCTCTGCAGTCAGAGGAGTGTGGTTAGCAGCAGAGACCGAAGCCAGCCCAGGTCTATCTTGTCACACAGAGCAGCTGGAGACTGACTACTCTTTGCTGTGGCCCTTACCTCTTCAGGCGGAGTCACCACATAGGGGGGGTTAAACACCAGCAGATCAACTTTCCCCTTCAATCTGGGCAGCAAGCCTTGGACCTGAAGACAGCAACAATACAGTTTAAGCTGGATTCTGGTTTAAGCAGTAAGTCTTTAAAAATACTCTCTCCTGTTTTCAGTGGGGGAAGTACTTACAGACAGAAATGTTCTCATGCAGGTGCACTTTATATGAACTTGAGCTAAATGAGTGAAGCAGTGAGTGAGCAGATACTGCACATGGCTTCTATCAACAGTGGACGTGTGTGCACTCTGGGTTCAGGAGGGCAAGGCGAGCCCTGATTCTGTGAAACACATTCCCTGTAGATCCATAAAGAACTTTACAACATCTCTGCTAACTTACACAATGATCTCTTGTAACTAAAAAATGTGCACACAGCCGGGAGGTGGTGGCGCACGCTTTAGTCCCAACACTCGGGAGGCAGAGGCAGGTGGATCTCTGTGAGTTCGAGGCCAGCCTGGTCTACAAGAGCTAGTTCCAGGACAGGCTCTAGAGCTATTGAGAAACCCTGTCTCAAAAAAACCAAAAAAAAAAAAAAAAAAAGCACTCAAGCACATGTGTGTGCGTGTGTACATGTATGGAGGTCAGAGGACAACCTTGGTACCTTCCCTAAGGAACTTTCCACCTTTTTGAGTCAGTGTCTCCCACTGCCCTGGAAGTTCTCTACTGTTCTAGGGTGGTTGGCTGGAAAGATTCCAGGACGCCACCACCCTCCGCTTCCCATTTAGCACTAGCAGGGTGTACAAACAACACGCCACCATGCCTGGCTTTTATATTCAGTTCTGGGATCTCACTTAGGTCCTTGTAAGGCAGACACTGTACCAACTAAGGTGGCTCCCCAGGTCCCAAGGGGAATGTTTTATAAGATGACATAGAATGTATCTGAACGCCACAAAACACCAAGGATGAACTCTGTTTTTGCTTCTTCAGTTACTTATAAATATTCTGACTGACAGAATTAGACATCAGAGCAGGGAGCATTGAACACAATGGCCAGAGACTGCAAACAGCTAGCATTTGACACTTTTTATGGCTCAGTTTTCCATGGAACAAGAAAAAAAGAAGAACCCCCCCCCCCACACACACATACAATTTTGTGTGTTTGTGTGATTCAAAGCTACCTCATTTCCAGTCACACCATCTAAGCATTGGACATATACTGGACTGATTATGAACACTGAACATATATTACAAAGTGATATCTGAGACCTTCCTGATCCAGATTTCTATAGTCAGTCCAGTTTTAATTATCCTGATAAGTCTGGTAACTTGTAACTCAAAGATAACTCCTAAGACCTCTTTTTGAGAATATGCTTGCAAAAGTAATTCTTTTTTGGCCTCTTTATAGGGGAAAACAATAGCCTATTCTTTGAAGTAATTTGGATACAATTTTGCCTGCAAACCAAAAGATGATTCATCTGCTCCTCCAACAGTCCAAGAATGAGGGAATAACTCAGTGTGTGTGTGTGTGTGTGTGTGTGTGTGTGTGTGTGTGTGTATGTGTGTGTGCACGCACAACACTTTGTTTTCGATTCCATAAAGAAATTAAACTTCTTAAAAGAACTCTAAAATATAAGTTTCCAGGAATGCTGGCTCACAAAACTGGAGATTTGCTTTGTAACTCCCAGGTACTCCTGAAGCACTACCCAGCTCTCCAGGAGTAACTGCAGGCTGGATAGTACATAAACGAAAAGGACAAAAATCTTAAATCAGAAACTAGCAGGTTATATGATTACACTGTGAACCTGAGTTTGCGTTTGCATTTATTAAATAAAATCAACCTTGGATCAGGAGGCAGAGCTAGCAACTAATTGACAGAAGTAATCATAGAGAGTCAGAGAGTATCTGGAAGACGGATAGAGAGACGCACAGGACATAGTAGGGAGGGTCAGAGAGTATCTGGAAGACGGATAGAGAGGCGCACAGGACGTAGTAGGGAGAGTCAGAGAGTATCTGGAAGACGGATAGAGAGACGCACAGGATGTAGTAGGGAGGGACTTTGAGTGTGGCAGAGCAGGACAGTCTTTTTCTGAGACACAAAGACGGAAGGTCAGCTAGTTGCTCCTCAACCTCTCTGAGCTAGCAGGTTTTCACCTCAGCCTCTGACTCCCAAGTCATTGATAAAAAGAACACTGGAGATTTAGTTAGAACTACATTTGGTGGCAGGGGCAGCAGGCTCCAAACCGGCAGCTATTGGAGAAGTGAGCCAGTAACTGTGGAGTGGCAATTATTGGCTGAAACAGCAGTAGATTCAGGCACAGCTGCTGTGCCGGAGATAAAACAAGAGACTCTTGAAATTAAAATGTATTTAAATAAAGCCAAGGGCTAGTACAGGCATCTCTAGCCAGGCCTAGTCAGTTTCCAGCCTTTACTTCTCCAAGAATTGAAGAATAAGTGAAAGAGGCCCCAACAAGTGTTAACTGCATGCAGCAAAACACGCAGACTTTATTTCCTGCAGAGACACTTTCTGGAGGACCCTTAGGTTAAATGCGAGTCAAGCACATGATCAGGGAGAATGGATAACAGTTCAACAGGACAACATGAGGCCAGCGAAAGGAAGAGGGGAACTACCAGGTACTTCACGTGGCAGATGACTGAGCAACCCTCACACACAACTCAGAATGACAGACACCGCAGAGTTTGTAAAAGGTAGAGTGTGCTTGGTGTGCACTAACAATGTAAGGAAACACACAGATGCATTTTAAAGACTGTATTCTAAACTAAAAATGAAGAACAATAATTCTACCATTTTGATTTTGAGAAAAGGTCACACTGTGTAGCTCAGGCTAGCCTTAAACTTGAAATTCATCTTACACTCTTGACTAGTGTAACTCAGGCTAGCCTTAAACTTGAAATTCATCTTACACTCTTGACTAGTAGGGATTCCAGGAGTGAGCCACTATGGCCAGCTCATTGCTACTTTTTAAAATGTAATCTAGTACTCAAAAAAGAGTACAAGGTCATCTTTGGCTATATAGTTAAGTTTGAGCTAGCCTGGGCCACATGAGACCGTGTCTCATAAAAACAAAAAAAAAGTTAATTACTAAACTTTATTTGCATTAAAACCTGTTGACCTTCAATTAACCAAGATGAAACTGATTACCACTGAAGAGGGATTAAAACTCACCAAGTCTGTAACTACTGGCTGCAGGTGGACTCTGTTACAGTGTGCCGTCTCCAGGGTACATGCGGCTGCCTGGGGGTTGATATCAGTGCACCTACAGACAGGAGAAAAAGAATCAGGGCCATGTACAGAGCAAATCTACTAGCTATTTTAGGAATTTTTGTTAATTCTTAGGTGGCACAGGAAAAATTAGGATGTTTTCATAATGGCAAAGAAAAAGAGAACAAAGGCTTGTTACACTGTGACAAGCACTGCTACAGAATCTGCTCACTCATGGGGGGGGGGGGAGTTTTTTAATTTGTGTTTTAAAACCCCCCAAAAAAACCGAAATCCAAAGACACGACAGCTAGGAAACTGCTACACAAATGCATGAGAGATTACAGAGCGCACGAAACACACTGGCTCCGTGTCTGGCAAACCTACTATTTCCTGGGGTTTGTATTCTCAAGTTCTCTGCGAAGAAACTCAACTCTCCAGGTGTTTTCTAACAGTCAAATGACCTCCCTGAAAACAATCGCAGTAAACAGAACTCGAAATTATGTGGCTCCTAAAATCACAGCAGGAAGGAGTGAACATGAAATTATAAGTGGGGTGGGCACAATTTGTGACTTGAGGCCTCACTGAAATACCACCAGAGACATTTTGTCTACTTAAAAGATTTCACCCAAGCTGCCACAGTCACAGTAACCCAGGAGATGGGATGAACGTTGTATACTCACATGTACAAGGCCTGAGGACCTATCATGGAGGCCAGGAACGCAGACACCACACCAGACCCTGCTCCGACTTCAAGGCATATTTCCACTCTAACAACAAAACAAGAATACTTAGTGCATTCCCATGAGCCTACTCTACATGGAAGATGACTCTCATGCTAGATAATGGATTTCTCCAGCATCATCATTCACTTGCAAATATAAGGGAAAATAAGGGAAATTTACAATTTCTGGCAATCACTTGCATATTGTTGCATAGCTACACCTGGTAATAGTTTAGGTGTGTCACCTTGAAGAACTTAAATACACCAAGCAGCATGTCCTAGGAGTGAAAGTTCTCTACCTACCTAGACAGATGTAGAATAGACATTCTCTACTGAACTGGGCATGTACCTCAGAGTATGACCTCAAAATGCCAATAATCTTTGCTTTCACAACCTAAAAGTCTTCATATTATTGTTCAGTGAAATTATTCCCTCAATGAGTGTACTTGTTTCAGAAGCGCCACTTAACTTTTACAACTGATGGGCCTAATGACATTCATGGGAATTCCTTGCACTTAACTTTTCAAACAATAGTCAAGAAGCAGTTACAGGATTTTTAGCTTTGAGCCATATATCTGAGAAGCCATTAGTCACTCTAAAGTTTGTGAATCTTTCCAGGTGATTACTTCTTGGAAATAACCATTACAGTCTCATATTTAGAATTTCAAGTCTTCGTAACAAGGTCAGCCCCATTTACAGCATAGTCTGCAATGCAGTTTGTAGTTGTAAATCTTTCTGGGCAATTCTGAGCACACGAGTTCTGAGCCAGTGCTGCATAAGATATTCCAGTAACTCGAAGTTCTCCACCGTCTATGATGAAAGGCTGATTTCAAAAGCATTTTATAGACAAAAAAATATGACAGAGCTTAAGAGGGGTAAGCATGTTGGTTATTTCGTCCTGGCGAACCCCAGTTCAAAAATCTCGCTCATTAGGTTAATGACCCGAATTCTTTCAGCAAAATGTTTTATTAGACTTACTTTGTGTGTGTATGTGTGGGCACGCAGTCCTCAGCACTGCAACTGAACGTCCAAGAACAACCTGTAGGAGGCATTTGTCTCCTCCTGCCATATGGGTCCTGAGGATTGACCAAGAGTCCACAGGCTTGGCAGTAATTCATTTACAAGCTGAACCATCTTACCCGCTCTTGACTCAAATTCGCTTAACTGAAAAATCAACATGTAGCATTTACAACTGTTGTCATTAAAAGTTACAGCCAGTAGTTCAACGAATCAGGCTCGTCAAGATCCTGCAGTAAGCGGATACACGGTAACTATTATATCTTCCCTAATGGTACTAACTACATTTCTAACACTTAGGCTGAAAATTCGGTTTCTCAGTTGCAGAAACGTATGAAGTGTTCACTAGTAACACATGGCGAATGACTGTTCCTTGAGAGAGCTGAGTGGGTTTAACATTTCATTTGTGTCCTTCCGTTGTCAGAGGATACTATTTATGCACTAAGTAGGTCAACCATACGCGAGTTTTACATGGTCACTAAAAAACTTCATACTGGAAAGCAGCAATGTTTCGGGAACACCTTGTTTCTGGCCGTGACACTACGACTGCACTCAGGGGCACTTGCGTTCTGCAGATAATAGCCTAAAGGCAAGCAAGGCAGGGTGACCATAGGCCCCGAGGAAAACTTGCAGAGGACAAACCCCGGCACGCCGGAAGCTGCGCTTTCACCCCGCTCTGCTGTCAATCACCAGGCAGTGGGCCGACCCACTACTTCCGGAGGAGGCAAGACTTCCGGCTACCGCCCCTGGGATACCCCGATTTCCCGCTGCGGCGCGAACCCTCCTCGCACCCTGCTAGATCGGCCGCTGCCGCCTCGAGCGCGTCCAGCAGCAGGAACGTGTCCTCCGAAGGCTCGTACACGTCTCTGAAGGCTCCGCGACCCACGTGCCCATACAGCGGCGTGGGCAGGCTCGGCGCCGCCATCTTTCTTCCGCGTCTTGCCGGCCTGCGATTAGAGTGCGCATGCGTCAGGCTGCGCATGCGCCTTGGTCTGACACAGGGTGGGAGGGAGTTTGGGGCGAAGCGCTTGTGTTTTATGTGCAATCCAACAGGCTGCTGGGCTGTCTTGGAACTTCTAAATGGTTATATGTTTTGCATCCACTAACATCAGTTTTCATCTTTTGAACATTTTGTGTGTACTTTTTCAACTACACTAATATTGAGCATCTGTTACTTTTTACTTAGGTGACTGCTGCTTTATTCTAATGACATTTGAAAATGTTTTTCCATTTTTAAATTGTAAGGATTTGCAAAAATAATGACTACTAAACTTTACTGTTTTTAAACAGCTGAACTGTACATTTTGATCCTGATTATGGTTACTTTTATTTGCTTCATTTTGTTGTGCAGTCTCACTAGCCCCTGCTGACCTGGTGGAACTCCGTGGTCCGCCTGCCCGTCTCCCAAGTGCTGGGACTAGAGGCTTGTGCCACCATACCCAGTTTAGATTGTGATTTTTTTAAAATTTATTTCTTATTTGAGTATTTCATACATGCATAAATGAAATAAAAATTCATATTTTTATTAAAATAGTTTGGAAGGCTGCCTTGAAAGTAATTTTTTAAAAAAGGCTATAGTTGGAGGGCTGGAGAAGTGCTCAGTGGGTGAGACCTTGTACTGCACTTGCAGAAGACCCAAGTTTGGTTTCCTACAGCCTTGTTCGGTACAGGTGGAGCACGACCGCCTCTAACTCCAGCTCCAGAGGATGGCTGCGCTTCCTGCCTCGATGGCAACGGCAGAACTGCTGGGTTTATACATTCATGTAGGCAAAGCACTCATGCATGAAATAATAATGAATATTTAAAAGAAGATGCGGTGGGGGGGGCCCCGAAGAGTCAGTTCTACAATTCAGAGTGTGAGGTGCTTGCTCTTTCAGAGGATCGGAGCTTGGTTCCCAGTATCCACATCAGGTAGCTACAACCACTTTGTAACTCCAGCTCTGGGACATCCAGTATCTTCTGTCTTCTGCCAGCACCCGCACACACATGTACATAAACACACAGATACACATTAATAAAAATTTAAATATTTTAAACTTATATTTATTAATATTTTAATGTACTTATTACAAAAATTGCCATCTTAATTTTGAGTCACTCATCACTTGGACTGACTGATTTTGTCTACTTGACACAATCTAGTGTCATCAGAGAGGAAGGAGCCTCCCTTGAGGAAGTACCTCCATGAGATCCAGCTGTACTGCATTTTATCAGTTAGTGATTAATGGGGGAGGGGTTTTGATGGGGGAGGGGTTTTGATGGGGGAGGGCCCAACCCCTGGTGGGTGGTGCCATCCCTGGGCTGGTAGTCCTGGGTTCTACAAGGAAGCAGGCTGAGCAAGTCCTGGGAAGGAAGAAAGTAAGTTGTTCCCCTCCATGACCCCTTCATCAGGTCCTGCCTCCAGGCTCCTGCCCTGTTTGAGTTCCTGCCCTGGCTTCCTTTAATGAAGAGCAATGTGGAAGTGGAAGTGAAATAAACCCTTTCCTCCCCAGCTTGCTTTTTGGTCATGGTGTCTCTTCACAGCAATAGAAACCCAAGCTACGGCATCACTCATAAGTTTTTTTCAAGCAAGGTGGTGTAATTTTCTTTTTAAAACTGTCAGGGCTGAAATGCCATTAACCCAGCTCTGCTTTCTTCTGGATTATGCAGTTCTAGTAGGTCCACATCAGACGTTCTCTGAAACATTTGCTAGAATTCAGCCCAAACCGGCTCCCCTTGTTGCCTTTTCTAATGAATGCATTGCTGGCATCTGGGACATCAATAGGTTACATGCTTCAAGTACTTTGCACTTTTTTGAAGCCAATTTCTGAAATTTGTTTAAAATTAAACTTTATAATCTAGTTGGTTTTTTTTTTTTAAAATTTGAACTTGAGAAATAATACAGCGCCAGATCTCATTACAGATGGTTGTGAGCCACCATGTGGTTGCTGGGAATTGAACTCATGACCTCTGGAAGAACAGCCAGTGCTCTTAACTCTGAGCCATCTCTCCAGCCCCCCAGAATCTGGGCTTCTTAATATATTTAGAAAGAGTAGACCCATGTCCTTTTCTCCATATGGCACCTGTGGTAACACTTTGACTCCTGCGTTGAGGGGACACCGGCCTACAAAGCTGAAGTGTGCGTTCATCTTCCATAGGCACAATAGAAAGTCACGTAAAAGCGAAAGACTCTCAGTGTGTCTACACTTGGAAAATTACTTCTTTAAATCGATTCTAAAGATCTCTGCAGGTGATCAGGTCTTAGGAACTCAGGACCAGATGACGTCACTTTGGGCTGGTCTAAAATGTTGTCTTTGGCTCCTGCACCCTACATGAAATCTTGTTAATTATGATTGTTTTTCCTAGTTAGAACTCCTTTTGGAGATTTTTCTATAAAACATTTATTTTTATCACTTACATAACTACATAAAATATCTTTATTGGTGTCAAAATGTCCAGTCATTGCCAAGGATTTCATTTCAATTTCTTGAAATTATTGGAAGGTTCATACATTTTTATGCTGTTTGGGCTGTAATGTTAAATCATGCATTACTAAAATTCACAGCAATTTTCATAATTGCATTGTTTTTGTCAGAACAAGGCAGCCCCTGTGACTGGCCACTAATCACCATGATTAATGCCCACTCCTTCCTTATCTTCAGAAAAATGATGTGTGGAATTCATTGTTCTGAAATTGACTTTTCATGAAAACAATTTTCATGAGTACTTATAATCTGCCTTTTAGCACAGGGATATTTTAGCTCAGAATTTGTTAAGTGTATACCTACTTATGCAATTACTTCATTTCTAAGGAAACTAGAAATGTCTTTAAAAGAAAATTAGGCAAGGAACTTGTCTTATTACTTAGTCATTCAGTTTATCCTTACAGATATTATTCAAGAAAACACAGTCTGACAGCCAGGCATGGTGGCTCGTGTCTGTAATCCCAGAATTCAGGATGCTGAGGAGAAAGGTCACCAAAAGTTTGTGTTCAGCCTGGGCTACAAAATGAGTTTCAGGCCAGCTTGCTATAGGACGGCCCTACCTGAAAACAATTGAACAGGCCACACATAATCTCTCTAGACATTGTCTTAAGATTCTAATTGTTTGGCTTCAAAGCTACATTTTAAATCCTCCCGTGTCTGTCTTCCTTGGAGCTGTGGGTTATCAGAATGTGTTTGGTACCAAATGCCCTTTAGATGTTGCACATGGAGACCACATTTAGAGAACCTGAGGAGTAAGCTTCAGAAGAAATGCTCTTTGTCCTCAGTTTTGCAGCACATAGAAGCCATCAGGCATTGTAGAGCAATAACGTCTGACATTGATCCAATCCCCTTACTTAACAGTACATTCTGCTTTGCTTGGATCTTACAGATCTACTGTGGCCTGAAACTCATACAGGGTAGCCTTAAATTTAACCCAATTGTCATGAAGTTTGAATATGGGGGTCTGTTAGTTACCTTTCCAAATGTTGGGATAAAATACTCGCACAACTCAAAGGTTCATTTTGGCTCACAGTTTGAGGGGTCACAGTCCTTTGTGATAGGGAAGCCATAGTGAAAGGGCCCAGGCATCTTCTGTATTGTTTCTGTCGGCATGAAGCAGAGAGTGATGAATGCTAGGGCTCAGCTTGGTCTTTCCTTTTTATTCAGTCCAGGATCCCCAGCCAAAGAATGAAGCTGCCACATCCAGCACAGATCTTCCCACTTTATTAACCCAGTATACGAACTCCCTCACAGACATCCCCACAGATTTGTTTCCAAGGTGATTCTAGATCTGTCTGATTGTTGAACAGTGGAAAGTCTTTCAGGGCTTTTGGTGATGATACATTTGGGGGAGATACTGAGAACACGGCCTCACAATAGGCTGAGTAGCCACAGAAGAAGACGCAGAGCAACAGCTTCCCCATGTGAAGACACAGTGCAAGCCAGGAGGCAAGCCAGCCTCCTTACTACCACCTGACCATGCTGCAAAGCTGACCTCAGACCTTTGTCCTCAAAAACAAGGAATGTCTGTTGTTTTGGCCACTTCGTTTTGATATGGAAACACGTACTTTTAAATACATCCTCCCAGATACCAGAAACAGAACCCGAACACTCACGAGAGGGGCAGTGGGCTTTCAAATAACGGTCCAGGTGAGTCAGAAAAGCATGCTTAGAAGAGGAATTATTGTTCAGTTATCTCTTTCTGAATATGTAGAACCTCAGCATCATGGACAGTTAATAAAAGAACAATAATCCCATGGAATCCCTTGATTTGTAAGCCTAACTAGTAGTTATCCATCCTGATGTGCTAATGAAAGAAATATTAGAAATAGCTGTTGTTTTACTGTGGAATTAGATAAAAAAAAAAAAAACTACCAAGCAACTACCGCATGATCTGGCAATTTTGCACTGGGTTTATATCCCAAGTATATGAAATCACTATCCTCTCAGCACTTGCAACAATAGTCATACTAAACATAATATGGACTCAGCCCCGAGCCAGCAAATGCAACAGAATATTACTGGTCATATAAATAATGGAACTGTCGTTTTTAACAATGTGAATGGGTCTGGAGGCCATGACGTTAAATGAAATAAGCCAGGTACTGAAAGAAATACCACAGGGTCTCCCTCACTTGTGCTTTAATTTCCGTCTGGTTTCTGTGACAACACTCTGAGACAGCATCTCGGAGGAGGAAGGGTTTCTATTAACACAC